ATGGTCGACCACGCTTTTGTTCTTGATGTTTAGTTGAATTATTATGTAATGAAACAGGATAAAGTACAAGATCATCTATATTCATAACAGTACATGATTCAAATAAACGAATACGATTTGTACGAAGAGCATTTTCGAATTTAGCCGCTAATTAAACAATGCAAAATAAATTTAATCATTCATTTTGTTTTTTTATTATTGTACGAAAAACTAAACTTACATGTTTCATCATTACGTGCACTATTTTTAGCAGATGTTAATTGTTCATTCCATTCATCTCTTAATCGCGCTGCCCATTCATCTCGATTTAATGCTAACATTTCACTATATTTTATCCAATGTGTTTTTGATGATCCATATTGATGATAAGGATAATGATCGATAGATAAATTGGCTAATGTTATTTGAAGAGCACCACCTTCAGCTAGACGACTACCTAAAAAAACATAAATAAATACAATGAAAAAATTGTTATATTTAATCAATGAACAAAGAACTGAACAACAAAAACGAAACAATATGAGATATATCTTTTTTTTTTCTTTGACTTACTTGTTGACTCAAAATAAAATTCTGAGAAAAAATTAAAAAGAAAACCATAGATTTTAGTTTTGAATAGAAATAAATTAGTATTTCAATTTTTAAAGGAAATTTTTACATACTAAACATTTTTGAATCAGCAGTAACATGTATATCCAATCGTTTAATATTAAAATGTAATGATGTTTCAACAACATCATAATGTTTAAAAGGATCATTTGATTGTTGTTGAATGTTTGATGTGCCGCCAGTAGAATTCATTAGATCATTGTTACCTGTTGTTGGTGGTTTTGGTTGAAATGTTGATGGTTGTTGTTGTTGTTCTAATTTCTAGATTATATAAATAATTATAGAAGATATTCAATTATTATGATCGTTATAAAATTTCGATTTTTCTGTAAACAGATAGCAGAAAATTTGATTCTACTAAGAAATAGAAATTATTTATTATTTTTTTCTTTTACACTTTCTATGCGTGTGGCATGATTGTAGGAAATTTGTTTATTACAATATGATTAACATTGCCAAGAAGATCTTTCATCGGTACCATTCAAATTGTAGAATTCATTTCAAACAGCATTATGTCTATACTAACTAGGATAATATAAAGAAAAAAAAAAAACATCACAAAAATTAGCTAAATTAACGTTGGAAGCATTGCGACGATAGCAGAATTAAACTAAACAATCACCATCGGAATCTGTTAATCAATGTTAGCTGAGCAAAATCAAAGTCAATTGAAACTTATATGTACCAAAAATTATATAAATTGTTTCTTCATGCTTTTTTCTTTTGAAAAGTTAGACAATTAGTTAATGAACAAGATTATTAAATGAGTCATCTAAATAAACGATTGAAAGAACACTTTGTTGTCATTGAAAAGTCTTTTATCTTTTTTTTTACGCATCATTATTCAATGGTATTATTCTTTACTATTCATTTAATTTTGAAGAATGGATGAAAGACATATTAGATTTGTTTTTCTTTTATATTTATTCAAAAATCTATACAATATAAACGAGTCTATGCAATCAATTATTTTCAGATCACTTCTTTGTCTTCTTTTTATTCGTGTATGTTAGACTTTAACTTGACCTAATCAAAATGACAATCTACATGTAGTTCACTTCCTGTTATTCCCTATTATTGACATTATAGCTATTTTTCGACCTTTACATCAAGTCGTAAATGAAACTTCTAACGTTGTAATTGGTATTTTAGTTGAAACATGTCTATCGCTCTTGTAAACTAATGATTCGATTGTAGGAAAAAAAAAAATTTCTATTCTTTCATGCGTAATTTAGACTGATGTGCTATTATCAGGGAAAATTTTGCATATGTCTTCCTATTTTCTGTTTATGACATTCTTGTTTTATTTAAAGGGAAATTGATAAGAAGTCAAGTGATGTTTTTCTATTAACTGTTGAAATAAGATAAGAATGAAAAAATTTTTCATTTAATTATACATACTGTTAATTTATCTCCAGCTATACGTTTTCGTTGTTCAGATGCACGTTTCATTAATTGTGTAATTTCTTTATAAGTATTTAAAGCTGATTTAAGTTGTGCATCATTAATAACTGATAAAAGATCATCAAAATGAACCATAACACGTGATGTTACCATACTACTATCTATTAAAAAAAGACTTCATTTTGTTTTTTTTTTTTCTTTGGAATTATAATGAGACAAATAAATAACCTTGAAGATTTTTTTTCATAGAAATTCTTATTCGACATACATTAGCAATCAAGCGTATAGCTGCAGTTGCCATACTATTATCATTGGATGATGCTTCAATACGTGCATTTTGCCATGAAATTTCCTTACATATACACAAAACAAAACAAAATTAAAAACAAAAAGAGTTCAATATTTTATTACTTTAAAAAGAAGAATATGATCTTTAGTTGCATTGCGAAGACGAGTTAAATTTAATGAATCAACTCGTTTTCCATAAGGTGATATACTATATATTTCAAGACTTGGTAACTAAAGAAAAATACATAAAGGTCTTTAATTAAATATAAATATGAATTTTTTTATTTACAAAAATTGATGCTTTAAAAGCTTGAGCTTTTACAGCAAATGTTAAATTTGTAATTGTTAATGAAATACCATCAATGACACGATTTGTAAACCCATATTTACCCAATAATCTAGATTACGAAATTAAAATATTTTTTTTTAAATGAAAAAGAAAAAACTTTTTACGGATCATTTGCATTTAAAGAATCATTCGAATTATGTAAATCTCTTAGTTGTTCATATGTTTCAATTTCAATTGTTACATCATCTAATTGCTATAGAAATTACGATTAAGATTTAGTATTTTGTTTATTAATGTTTAGTTTTTCTTACTAATTGAATTGGTAATGTTTTTAAATTTGTCCAAGGAATCTAAAAATTAGATTTTGTTTTTCTTTTTTTTTGTTTACTTATTGTATTTTGTTTTTTTTACTTTAATGAAAACTCGACCACATGTTGCTTTACGAATTTTAAGCCATGTTGGTAATTCAATAAGATCTTCTAATGCTTGTTCATCTAAATCAATAGATGATAATTCACCTTCGCCTTTCAATGTACTTAAATTGATTTGATTTGATGATAGATTTTTAACAAATCTGTTGTTTATTTTAATAAAACAAAAAAACAGAAATAAAAAAGAAAAAATAAATAAATTTTCGTATTTCAAACTTTGATAAACGTTTTATAATTTGATTTTTAATTAACGATGCCATTTAAAACATGTCAACAAGTACACAGTTTTAGAAGAATAAAATACAAAACTGAAAAAAGAAAATTTTTTTCGTATATTTCTCATTCCAAAAGGAAAAATTTCTATGATAATCAAATCAAGAGAATTATTTATAGATGTCAGTCAGATTCATAAAAATTTATTTAATTAAAACGATAATATAAATTATTGTATTATAGGTGTAAGAATTCCTTGTACTTCACCAGATATTGCTGTTGCATTTATTGTTAAATTCGTATGATTACTCATCCATTTATGTTCAATATATTCTTTCATATGAACTTGTTCACGTTCATTTGGTTTACCGAAACCTCGTTGAATTAGATCAATTAATTGCTCAAGTAAATGATTTGTTTGTGCAAAATTCGTTTCAACAATATAAGCAATACTTTTCTCTAATGAACAATATGGTTTTTCAAGTTCATAACTTGCACTATAAGCTAATTGAACATTTGTTGATATTGCTTGTTCAAGATTATACTTTGAACGATTACAAGCAGATAAAGACTTGCATCGAAGTTTTATCCATTCAGTTAATAAATTATGTGAAGTATTAAAAGTAGCATATTGTTGCATTGTATTGAATGAACAATTATAATTAATATCACGACCATTTTTATTCCAATCAATACGTATAGATTTTGTATTTAATAATGATAAACTACAATTGATATATTTACATTGAATAGCTATATTACGTAAAAGGTATGGTTCAATAGGATGAGACTCAAGATGAAGTTGAAAATTATATTCATAATCACTTGTTGTTGTATTATAAATACATGCATTTGTTGGTTGATCATTCTGATTTATTTGAATTTCATTTGTATAAAAATATTGACATGGATAACGTCGATATTGAAATACATGATGATCATAATTAGCTAATCGTACTGTTGTTGTATAAGCAAGAGCACGATCATCAGACCATTCACTAGATTTTAATGGATCATATAATAGAGTATAACTCGCATATAGAGCACTACTAGCCAAATGCGATCCCAAATTGAAAATAATAAAAACACAGATTGTAAGATGCATCGTTGTTAACAAAAAAAGAGTTTTTCAATGCTTTGTCTTCTACAATAGACAGAAATATGTAATATCTATATATCTATATATATCTGTATATCTATATATATCTGTATCACTAACTGATGACAGATATTAACGTCTAGCGATGATTTCTATTTCTTTCACTCTAATACTGGATGAATTATTATTCTTCCTACAATATTGATATCTGCCTTTGATCTAAGTCAAGAAACAAAAAGAAGACTCAAAGTACATTTCTATATATATATATTCTTTGGTCGATTTTTCTGTAAAATTACGCGCATAACAAGAAACAAAAAAAAAATATATCTATGATCATAACAATTTTCCTTGTTTATCGTCTTTTTCGTACACAAGCAAGAAAAGAAAAACCCAAAAAAAAAAGTGAACTTTTTCTCTAGTCTAGTATAAAAAAAACAATTGATAAAAACAGTCTCATCAATCTTCACTACCATCCAACGAGCAGAAAAAAAAAAGAGAATGAATTTCAACACAATACAAGTCAAACAAAATTATCTAGATACTCAACATTGAGTATTAAATGTACACGAAAGGGGATGAGGGAACACAAAAAAAAAAATCTTTTTTGATATCAATTCATCAATATGATGTAGAATAAAACACAAAAAAAAATTTGTTTCGTTTTTCAAGTTTGTGGCGGAGAGCCTGTATATCGAAGATCATAACGAATATTCATTGAACGATATTGTATAGGTTGAGAAGAAAACGATAGACAAGAACGAAATGTAGACACACGTGTTCGTCGTCCATCACTAATCTTCGTATTTGTACCTGTAAATCTTTCACATTGTTTTGTTTCATAACGATATTGTCGATATTCTTCTTCATAATCAATATCAATCATTGTACGATATTGATTTGGAATACAAAATTCCTAAGAAAATGAAACAAAAATTGTTTTTTCTTTTCCTTAAAAATAATGAATTCTTACTGGTGAATATTCATAGAATGCTTTATAACCACCATCAAGTAAATAAATTTCTGGATAATGTAATTCTGGATAATTTTTTTCATGTATATTTCGATCTTCAGATCGAAAATATCGTAAACTAAATAAAACAAAATCCATTTTACATTTATTCCTTTGATAAATACAAGAACGTTCCCGAATCGGAGGGGCAACGGAGCATACTGAGCATCTAGATGAAGATGTCTAAATATGAAAATCCAGCTTTTTCAATATTTAAATACAGGCCATCTGATTGTATATGTGTTGTAATCCTCAAAGAATAAAAAAAAAACTCCAAATTTTGTTGGAATGCTGTATCAGTAACCCTTGTTAGTGCAAAGATCTTTTCCAGAAAATGGTTTTTTTTTCTTATAATTTTCGCCGTGACATTGATTCATTCATTTCTACGCAAAACTATTTCTGAGCAAAAAAGTCATATGTCCACTTGGCATACAAACAATGCTCACTGTGCCTTGTCCAATTCTGACGACGTAGAAAGATCCGTGAATAAATAACTTACAGTGATGGTGCACGTTCTGATGAAAATTCACAATGAAATATAAATATATTTCGTTTTGTTGGATCTTTTAATTCAATTGGTTTACAAAAAAATTCATTATAAATTTTTTTACGTGTATAAAGATTTTTAGCTGAATGAATATGACCACCATCATATTCATATGGATATCGACAATCAATTATATGTAAATTTTCTATTTCAAATGCATAAACATTTTTTAAAACATTAATCATCTAAAAATTAAAAATGAAATTAATAATAAACATAAAGAAATTTTGAGATTTTTTGTTTTTTGTTTTTAAACATACTGTTTCAGAATTAATACAAGCAAGATCAGGATGTTTACGACTTTTACATCGTGGTAAAAGATATGTACGTGAACGATCACCAATTAAATCATGATTAGAACCAAGTTCAACGGATGCTTTTATTTGTTCTTCATTTGGTTCAGTTAAACTACGAATTAACTAAATAAATAATTGAAAATAAATAAATACAAATCTATTTTAAATATAAAGAAAACATACTCCAATTCCATGACGAGAACGTTTATTAATTGATGGACGAATTATAATTAAATCATTTTCTTTATTAGTTTCATCGATAGTTTTACAACGTTTTATTGATCGAATATTGTCACTGTTTTCATCATCATCATCATCATTATGAAGACGTTTCTATAAAAAAAAAAAAAACTCTATAAAACAATGAGTTTAGAGTATATATTTTTTACATTATTATTTGAATTTTCTTCAGTAGTTATAACCGTTAAAACTGGCATATTTTTTTCATTATCAGATAAGCAAAGAGGCAATGGTCGTATTCGTCGTTGTCGATTTTGATTAGGTAAATTTTCATCATTATCTCGATTTGGTGTCACTGTTGAAAGAGTTTTATCAAATAATTTAATAAGTTGATCAGAATGAGAATCCTAGAAAAAAAAAATTTTTTCTTTATTTCAAATTTTATTTTTTTTGCTATAAAACAAACCGATGATGATTGCGATCGTGTTTGCATTGGATGACAAGATAGTTTATTTCTATATTGAAAATAGAACAAAAATATTCTGTTTAAATTATTCTTTTATCAATGAATAATTAAACCTACTGATTAGGAGTCAATTCATTTAGACGAATTTTCTTATTTTTATTTTCTTTGATTAATGTTTGACGTTTATTATTACGTAATGATGCTGGTCGTGGAAGTTTATTAAAACCATAATGTTCTAATTTTGAACGTGTTTGTCTTGTTATACGATTATCTGTTGTTTCAATTCGTATTGATAAGCTAAAGTTAAGAAGAAAAAAAAAAAATTTCTTTTCTTTCTCTATGAACTTTCTTTAACAGTTTCGGTTTTTGTTGACACAAAAAACAAATAACAACTAAAAATCGGCTTAGCTCACCGCTGTTAAATACAATAAGATTATCATTTTGTTGTCTATCTGCTAATAGCAGGGTAGTATACATCCATTTAAAAAAAAAAGAAAGAAAAAGAAGTCTGATGAAAGTTGACACTAGTCGATAATTACATTAGGAGAAAATCGTTGGAAAAAAAATGTCAACGGCCGAAAGAACGTCTCCTACACTTGAGTGCCATCGAATTGGCAGTCATAAATCAACTAGAACGATTTTGTCATAAACCATAGGATGAATTGTTTAATATTCAATACAATCCACTTCATTGCTTAGACATCAAACGATAGGAGAAAAATATTTAAAAAAAAAACGAATGAAGGCAACACTCACTGTTCATCTTGATGTTGTTCTTGCCTTAGGATATGAACTAGAAATGAAATAAAATTTTGAAAAAAAAAATGATTTATCTCTTTTTCTTTTTGTTTTTTGAATTTGTTACCTGAAGATATCGATTGTGGACTATTATCTGTTTCATCATCACTTGAAGAAAAGACAAGTTTACGTCGAGGTGTTCGTCTAAAATTCATTTATCATGTTTAATGATGTAGAAAAACAGAAGTATTTCTAACGGTTTCACTCTATTCATCAATGTTTATTCAACTGATAAACAATATATCAATACTTTTTGATTCAAGCGCTTCACAATATTCAACGGTTTACATTTTATTTAAAATCAATAAAAATGAAATCAAATTTTCTTCGAATTCTTACCGTATTATAAAATTCCAACTTATAACAGATGTATTCATATTAAGTTTAACTTAAATATTCAATAATGTATTCATATGTACATCGTATTCATCAATGATGTATTATCCTTTGGATAAATGCAAAAAATATTTGTTCTCTTCTACTTTTGTCAAGCTTAATGAGTTTTGTTATGTTTTTTGAATGTATATACATTACAAAGAAGAAAAGAAAAAGAGAAATGGGTGGGAGAAGAAGAGGAGGTCGATGCAATGAAGGATAACATCCGTTTTTTTTTTCTTGTTTCCTTCCCTCTCGGGAAAGGACAGTTCGTTGGAAGAAAATAAAATAACGAACGTTAGATACGAACTTCAATGTTGTTTTCATTTGCACTTTTTCTGAGTGCTATTAACACAATCTAACACTTTTCAATACGTATATATATATGTATAGAATCAAAGAAAAATATATGACAAAAATATCTTTCTATTGGATATAAAAGAATTTAAAGATAAGCATTTACTGAAATATTTCTAATTATATATATCATGTCAACCTTGAATAATTTGTTTATAAAAAGAAAATTGATGTGTGAAAATTGATGAAATAAAAAAATTTTTTAAGTCATTATATTGTCACAGATGGAAAAAAAAAAGAAAAATTACCTGTCACTAAATATATTTCGTGAAGTTTGCATTTGAGATATGATGAGATTAATTAAAACGAATATTAAAGACAACTAATCATAAACATTTTTTGAATATTTTATTATTTATTACACTTGTTTCAATAGTGAGAGAAATCAAAATGTTTTAACAAGAAAAGTTTTTCTTATTGTATTCATATAGACATGTTCGACTGACTGATTTGTATATATGCAGCTGTTGTACGAATTAGATATTTTTTTTGTTTTTCTCTTTCTCTCTCGTGCAAAAGAAAGAAAATAGATAAGCATGTCTAATTTTCTTCGTTACTATTTGATCAGCTGATAAATTTAAAAGAAAACAAAAAATTCATGTAACTATAATTCAATACTTTTGAAATTGTTAGATCTTATGATGTAATAAAACTAAATTGGATAGACTGCTTTATTAAAAGAAGCCATTTGATAAACAATTTTGCTAATACAAACTGTCTTTAAAATTTAAGAAGAAACCTTTTCACATGATAACTCTAACGAATTAAACTAAATTTAACTTAGCGCGCTAAATGATGAATGTGAAGATTCGAGTACGAGTACAATGGAAGTTCTATTTGACTACTAATCAAATACTCACTGCAAAAGTTTCAATATATAAACTTTTGAATCGGACAATCCTGACGCATTTGACAATCATAGAGACCTCGATATATCCGTGATGATCATCATCTGTCTCTATCTTTTTTTTTTAACGATCAACACTGAAGAGAGAAAACACAAAGTTAAAGTGTGTCACCGCAACGCATGCCTAACGGCCTTGTTTTATCACAATATGAACATTTTCTTTTCTCACATATGACTGTGAAAATGAATGATCTTTCTATAGTTGTTTCGATCGGCATAACATCAGGTTGTTGTTATATTTTTTTTGTCATAGACAAGTAATCGTTTTTGACAGATACTTCGAATTTGATATTTCTTTGAAGTTTCGAGAAACAAAAAAAAAAACTTTTTGTTTTTGTTATATTTTGAAAGAATGATTTGTTTATTTAGATGTAACAAATTATTAGTCATTAGATATATATTACAGAACTAATCTATATGATAAATTGTCTACGACTAATTTCATGTAGAGTGAAAGTTAAATGAATAATAATTGATTGATTGATTGATTTCTTTTTTTTTTTGTGTTTTTGGTTATGTAACTAATTCACACGAGACCAATTATTGTTATATTGAATTTCACACTTCACCTTCTTTTTGTTTACTTATTTTGTGTATATTCATGTCACTAGAGAATATGTGTGAGATTTGAATGCTTTTGCCAGTTTTGTCATGAATAATCTTATTTTTTTTTTTTGTCTATCGTTACTTTTTGTTTCTCTTGTCAATTGTATAAATAACAGTAATAACAAGTGTTTTTCTCAGAGTTAAAGTGTGTGACATATCAATTGGTTTTCATATATAAGCGTGAACATATATTTCACAAACAAATTATCATCAACTATGATAGGTTTAAAATTTTTATCGATAGTCTCGGCTTAATTAGCATAACTATGAAAAAAAAAAGTGATTCTTAAAATCAATACATTTTTGTGAATTTATTTTTTTTATGAATGGGAAAGAATAAGTACGAGTGGGAAACACAATTCAATTAGAAATTTTCGAGCAAATCTCATTAAAGAAAATCAAAGAGTGCTATGTGTGTTAATATGATTGTTTGATATTGGATTGACAAAAAAAAAATAAAAATAAAAATATTTTCGAACAGGAATAAATATCATCAACATTTCAAACAGCTTATCTCAATGGGGACAGGAAATAGATACCGCGTTGGTAAATTGTTGTTAAAAAAATGAAACATATTTAATTGTTCTGTCTTTATATGAAATGATAGAAGTATAATTATAGAAAGAAAATATTTGATATCTAACTGTGCAAGATAATCAGTCAATAGATCGGATTATATAAAATTTTGTTTTCTTGACTTTTCATTCAATGCATATAGACACATGATTAAATGATTTTAGAACCGAGTCATGTAATATAGACCATATTTAAGCAATTTCATGTTTATTTAGTCACCATAAATAAAGAAGAGAATGGCATTCAAATTAACTATATGATATACTTCAGTTATTGTCAAGCTATGAGTGCCAGAAATTTTCATTATAACTATTTTTTGTCCCTCGAACTTGTTTTCCAAAATTGAATAAGAAGATATGTTGTGAACGATTGCAATAGCTTTCGATAAAAGTTTCATATATAATTATTGACTCCACACTTTTACAAGTCCTTAAATAAACAGGAAGTTTCATAAATCATATCAAATTTTGATAACAGACTAAAGAAATATTTTTGCTTCAAGAAAATCACAGTGCTTTCATATACAAATAATAGTAATAAAACATATGTCTGTTCTTGCCGAAATTGACATCGTGTAAAATCAATGATAAACATTTTCAGCAATATAAAAGTGTCTTCTGTGGCAGGTTTTGAGATCTTTTTGATAATATAATACCAAGTCAATGTTGTTATAGGAAGAATATGTTTTTTGGTTTCAATGGATTATTGCTAATAGACAATAGGATCTTCATATTCAAGTTGTTCTTCCTTAGTCCATCCGAGCGCGTGATGAATGAGTTGCTTTTTCCTCATTAGTCGTTGCTTGATCAAGTAGGACTTGGTAGAACTCTTGTGATTTGTTGAACTGGCCAAGTCTTATTAGTAAAATACCCAAATGAATCCATCCTTTTTCATCAGGTTTCATTTTTTTCACATCTGTGCGGTCAGCGATTAAAGTATGACCGCAACAATCCTTGATTACGATAAACAGTAAATAAACTCATATACGTATGTGTAGCAAACTATTGAATATGAAGCTTATAAATGTTGTTGTGAATGTCTCAAAGAAAAAACCGCACACTAATAATAAGATCTACTTCCATCATACGTAACGATCCATTGAGCGTTGAGAAAATAGAAAAGAGCGGTAGGCATAGCACTAGACGAGACATGTTTGTAGTATTCCTGTTCGAGTTTATTGTTAGTTTTCAGTGCATTGGCAACATCCGAGGAAAATTGGCGACAGTATGAAATAAATTTTTCGAAATGTTTGTGTTGGAAACCAAAGATTAATAATATTTGTTTCAATACTTGTGTGTACATAAATGTTTTATCTGATTGATCCAGTTTTTGTTTGTCACAGATAGGAGCAACATCTGTAAAAGATATGATTTATTTTTGGTCATAGTTTGGTCCAATCTTGACGTCAAGTTTGATTCTCACTCAAAATATATTCTCTTGTTGAATATCGATTATAACATTGATGTACTCATTCGCATTAGTGAATGAATGAATGAATTTTGTTCACCTTATCGATGTTGACATCGAGCCACATCAGGATGAAGTGTTGACTCATGTTTGTATATGGAGACCGTTGAAGTCTTGTGCTCGTTTGTTCAAATAGCGTTACTGTGGTAGGAGTTGTATTGTTGTTGTCGGTTTCTTCCTTTTGTTCATGGCATGTTCAGTATTTTATCGGTAGAAAAATAAAATTAGATGAATTGAGTTCACATGATACGTTAGATTTTTCTAGCTCCTTTCAATTGTTGTAGTCGTTCAAGCTCCTTTTTTCATTTCATTAGCATGCTCTGCTCCTTTTTGATTGGCTTTCATCTCTAGTATGACAAAAAAATGAATGAATGAAAGAAAAATTCATTCTCAGAGAATTTCATATACAGTGTTTTTGATTTCTTTTTATGATATTTGGAAATGATTCAATGTTGGAACATTAGATTGGAATGAATATTCAATGGATGAGAATATATCATGATATCTTACATGATCAACATGTTTTTCATACTCAGATATCGTTTGACCTTTCACTGATTGAAAATGTCGTAATAAAGATTAAGTAGATGGCATTCGAGTTCCACTAGATTGCAAAATGTGATGCAAATCTTCAAATGTCGATTATCGAAAAAATTGACATCATACGAGAAAACGAATAATCATTTCTACGATCGAGTACGCCATATTTCTCTAGAAGGAGCATATTTTGCTGTTAGCATCATTTAAATTCATTGCTGAGAAAACTATCAAAAGCATTCACATGTTCCCAATGAAGACTATCGATTGATTACTTGATTCTGTCTTTAATTCACTATTTATCTTCATCTGTATTAACAGCTGTCATGTGTAACATTGCTTGTTCAAAGACAATCCCGACAAAACATCAGGTATGTAGCGAAGAGAAACTCTCTGAAAGTTGAAAAGTGCCTATAAGACTTCTAAAGTGAAGGGATGCTCAATCCTTATCACTGCATCTGTCACAATGCCCAATTTTGGTTCTCACCATATAGATAGACAATGAAGCCAAATAATCTCAAACGGGCAAAGTTCGATTTTTCTGACGAAACTACTCTCATGAATCTACTTTTTCTCTTGATTTATTTATTATTACTCTCTAGATTCCTCAAACCATGTACGAGAAATTGTGCCAAGAGACTGTTTACAACTCTAAGAAGAAGTATAATTACGGTTTGGTTCTTATAACGATTTCAATTTGACATCATTGAGTCTATTGTTATTAAGTAACATTTGTTTTCCTTTATTGTTTATTTCAAAACAAAAGTTAATGCGAAGGAAATCACAGCATTTCTGTAATCGGCTGTGTAAGGGGTTAATTGAAATCCATCGAAATTCGTAATATGTTCCATTTGTCTGAAAATAATTTTCTTCGTTAATTACTTTAAAGCAGTATATTGCACAAAGTATTCTATACTAACATATTGTCTTCTATAAATATTGACAGTTATTATTGGATTCAGATCAATACAGCAACAGGAATATTTATTAAAAATTTTGCACAAAACTGATATTCTTGTCAAAATATAATAACAGAACCGATTTATTGTTTCCTTAGTGAACAAGCATTCGGTATCTTTAGTAATTTATCTACATGACTTAAATATTAGAGATGTCTTCGCATAACTTGAATAAAAAAAATGGTATCCTTTTTTTTTCTTTCAACAACTCTGTCTCTCTCTGAATTA